GGTGTTTTCTTTGGGGGGGGGGGGGGGGGGGAGGGCTCTCAAGGCCACAGGAGCTCAGGGCACATGATCTGGCGTTAGAATTGCAGAATGTTGACTGGATAATTAAGTATCGACCATGGGGGGGTGGCCTCATCCTCAATGCCTCCCCTGCTCGCAGGCTATCGAGCGCCGGTACTCCAGCCTGGTTGCCACCCACTCCAAGGCCCTGGAGGAGAAGCAGGCGCAGCAGCAGCGCGCTGATGCCTTTGAGAAGGTTTGTTTTCCTGTCGTTCGGTGTGACGTAGTTGGGTATCATATTGCTGTGAGGGTTTTTTTCGCCTGTGAAGGGCAAGCACGGGTCATCTGATGAACACTTCAAAGGGCAGGATATGGAGGAGGTTTGAATTCCTCGTGGCTGGCTGAGGCATGTCATGGGACACGAAGCCATATGTCTGCAGTGCAGCGGCTTCTTCGAATCCATGTGCCCCCTGGCCTGCCAGTCAAGCGCCCCGCCCCCCCCCCCCCCCCCCCCCTTGCTGTCGGTCCCGCTGCCGGCCGGGGCGTGGGCATCCCTGTCAGCCCCTGCTTCACACCTACCCACCTGTACCCCTGCCTCCTCTTACCAATCCTCCCCTTCCACTACGCCCCCTTTTTTTCCAGGAATGCGCTGCGGCCCGTGCTGAGGTGTCGCGGCTGACCGCCGCGCTGGCCGCCCGTGACGCTGACTTGGAGAAGCTGCGCGCCGAGCTGGCCGCCTCTCAGCGCGGCGCGCAGGCGCTGGAGCGTGCGCTGGCAGAGCGCGACGCACGCGCCGCGGAGCTGGAGGCGCGGCTGTCGGCCTCACAGGCCCGCGCCGCCGAGCTGGTGGCCGCCAACGCCCAGCTGGGCGCGGCGGCGGCCGATGCGCGGGCGGCGGCGGGGCGCGCCGCGCTGGAGGCTGCGCGCCTGGATCAGGAGCGCGGCATCGCGGCGCGCGGCGCCGAGTGGGCCCACGCCGAGCTGGAGCGCGCGTCGGCGGCGGCGACGGAGGAGCGCGGCGCGGCGGCGCGCAGCATAGCCGACCTGCGTGCCGGGCGTGCGGCGGCCGAGGCGGAGCGCGACGCAGCTAGGCGCGAGGCGCGCGAGGCGCTCGAGCGCCTGGATGCCGCGCGGCGAGGTGCGGAGGCCGCGTCGGCCGCGCTGCGCGCCGAGCGCGAGGCCGCGGCGGAGCGCAGCGCAGGTTTCGACGCCGAGCTGGGCATGGCGCAGCGCATGGCGGCGCTGAGCCGCGAGGCGGCCGAGGAGCGCGAGCGCCGCGCCGCCGAGCTGGAGGGCGTGGTGGCCGAGCTGCGCGCGCACGTGGCGGCGGAGGGCGCCGCCCACGCCGCCGCGCTGGAGGCAGCCGAGCGCGCGCGCGACGAGGCCGAGCGGCGCGCGGCTGCAGAGCGCGACCGCGCACAGCGCGTCCTGCTTGCCGCCGGGCAGGTGGACGTGGCGGGGGCGGACAGCGAGGGAGGCGGCGGCGACGGCGCGATGCCTGACGCCGACGCCTCCCCGCCGCCGCCCTCTGCAGCACAGCTGTCCAGCCCCAGCCAGGTGTACGCGAGGTATGTGGCGGCGGCCACGCGCGCGCGCGCCGAGGCGCTCAAGGTCCGCCAGCAGGAGATCGTGCTGGAGGAGCTATGCGCGGAGGTGGAGAAGCGCGCGGTGCTAGTGCGCGAACAGCAGGCGGAGTACGAGCGGCTGAAGGGCGCGTACGCAGGCATGGGTGCGGCGCTGGAGGGCGCTGAGGCCGAGGCCCGCGCTGCGCGCGCCGAGGCTGAGGCCCTGCGCGCGCAGCGCCGCCGCGACGCGCGCGAGCTGCGCGGCCTGGAGCAGCAGCGCGTCGACCTGGGCGCGCAGATCGTGCGCCTGCTGGCGGAGCAGCAGCGGTACAAGAGCGGCAGCGCGGTGGGAGAGGCCGGCGGCGACGCGGTCGGCGGCGGCGACGGGGGCCAGGGCCGTGCCGAGTCGGCGCCACCCGCCGGCCCACCGACCACCGCGTCCCAGGTGACCGATAGCCTGCTGCTGGAGTTCCGGGACCTGGAGGAGCTGCAGCGCAGGAACGCGCAGCTGGTGGCGGTGAACCGCGAGCTGGCGCGCGAGGCGGAGGCGCGGCGCGAGGAGGCACGCGCCGAGGTCCGCGCCGAGTTTGAGGGCGTGCTGTCCGGCCTGCGCGCCGACCTGGACGCGCTCAAGGCCGCCGGCGCCGCCGCGCGCGACCTGCTGGAGAAAGTCACGCGACAGCGCGACACGCTGCGCGCACTGCTGGCCGGCGCGGACGGCGACCTGGCCGCGGCGCGCGAGGGGTACGCGCTGGCGCTGCGCCGAGGCGGAGGGGAGGGGGGCCCGGACGACGCCGCGGACGCCACGGAGGCCGGCGGCGAAGGCGGGGGAGGCGCGGCCAGCGCCCGCCCGGCGACGCCCGCGCCGGGGACGCCGCGGCGCGGCGCCGCGCGCGACGACGCGGGCGTCCGGGCGCTGGAGGCGCGCCTAGCCGACGCCGATACCCAGTTTGCACAGTTCAGGGAGGATGCAGCCGCCACGCACGACCTTCTGCGCGCTGACGTGAGCGGGCTGTGGTTGTTGTTGGTCGGGCCTAGTGTTCTGTTCTGTACCCAAGTGGGGAGTGGGGTGTGGGTTTGTGCATGCACCATGAATTCTGAACACTCGAGATCGAGGAATCAGATGCACATGAGGATGACTGGAGTGTCCCGGCGACGGTGACTGTGACGCAGACGATGCACGCTCCAAAGCCCTCCCCTTTTCCCCCCATCCATTCGCCAACAGCTGGCGAGCACGCGGGAAGAAGCCAGCGCGGCGCGCACCGCGGCGGCCAAGGCGGCGGCGGAGGCCGAGTTTGAGCGCGGGCACGCCGCGCGCCTGGCCGAGTCGCTGGAGATGCAGCGCGCTCAGGTCGAGGACCTGCTGGCCGGCAACGCGCGCACGCAGGCCGCGCTGGGCGAGGCCGAGCGCCGGCTGGGCGAGGCGCAGGCGGTCGCCGACGAGGCCGTCGGCAAGGTGGGCCTGTGTTTTGTCGGTGTGTCTCTGGAGGGAGGGGGGTCAGATGGTCGGTGAGGAAGGAGGGAGAGGGAATGCTCAAGGGGCCTGGACTGTCCTGCGTCTTCTCACGGGGCAGCTCCCAGGCCGCCGTCGTCGCAGAAGTCGCCTGCTGGGGTGGCGCGTTTGATGCGCCGTGCTGCTCGCCCAGGTCCCCAGCTGCAGAACCTGGAGGCTTCCACCTTCGCGCCCATTCTCTGCGCCACACACTCCAAGTACACCACCTCACCGCCCCCCCCAAACTCCCCCCTCACTCCGCCGACCACAGCTGCGCGCCGCGTCGATTCGCGTGGAGTCGCTGGAGGCGGAGCGCAAGCTCATCGCGGCGGCCGAGGCGCGGGCCAGCGCCGAGCTGGCGACGCTGTCCCGCGACAGCTTCCGCCTGGCCGCCGAGCTGGAGGGCGCGCGCGCGCAGGCCGCGGACCGCGAGCGCGCTCTCGCGGGCGAGGCCGAGGCCGCGCGCGGCGAGGCATCGCGTGCGCGCGAGGAGG